AGTGCTCGCACTCGAACGACTCTTTAATCTCGAGAATAACCGAGAAACAAACGTTACGTCATCGTGCGCGTCGATGAAATTCGCGACGCCATTGCTGCTCGTTTCGAATTTACGCGCACGCTTCCGTAATTCAGAAATGTGTCTTAGCCTCTTCGGAAGACAATCCTTCTCAAGATTAATTTTTAAGGCAAAATTTTACAATTGCCTAATTATTTATCGATATTTAAGTTTTAGTTTTAGAATTTGAGAATGTGAGAATGAGCTTGTGAGTTTGAAAGTTTGAAAATTGCATCTCAAAGTCCTAAACCGCTTCGATACTTATCGATACCGCACCAATCGGGCGCTACAGCATAAAATAAACGCAACTCGAATTTTATAAGACGCACTGTAAATTGTTCTTTCTCTCGAAATCTCCTCGGAGTTTAATCCAGCGAAAAATCTTCCTAGGAGCTTCTTTCAATATTTTTCAAACCATTCGATATACGCGAGGAGCTTAGCGAATTCTGGAAGGGAAATCCTTCAATCCCTGTTTCGGGAGAGGGAATTCGAGCTGAATTCCGTTCGGTCCATTCGACAGGAAGATTACCTTTCATCTCTGTTATGTACCCGTTTAATATCGTCTCTCGTTCTTTCGATACTCTTTGGTCTTCCTAGTATGCCGTGGCATCGTTCTATCGACAGGGTTTCCCCGTTGTTTTCAATGAATATTCGTGAATCTTTTAATCCTATGGACTTCTAATTTCAAGGGTTTCAATGATAAATTATTATTATGAGTGACTTGTATTATTTTGAGGAGTCTGATAGGTGACGCACTGGTGACGCACTCAGGATGGACATATAACGCACTCGTGACGCACCCCAATTCTATCGTGACGCACCCAGATTCTATCATGACGCACTCGTGACGCACCCAAATTCTATCGTGACGCACACGTGACGCACCCAAATTCTATCGTGACGCACCCGTGACGCATCCAAATTCCATCGTGACGCACTCGTGACGCACCCAAATTCTATCATGGCGCACTCGTGACGCACCTAAATTCTATCATGACGCACTTGTGACGCATCCAAATTCTATCGTGACGCACTCGTGACGCACCCCAATTCTATCGTGACGCACTCGTGACGCACCTAAATTCTATCGTGACGCACTCGTGACGCACCCAAATTTTGCAATGACGCACTGGCGACGCACTTAAATTCTATCGTGACGCACCCCAATTGTATATTGACGCACTCGTGACGCACCCCAATTCTATTGTGACGCACTCGTGACGCACCATGATGTACATATGACGCACTCGTGATGCACCCACGACGCACTCGTGACGCACACATGACGCACTCGTGACGTACTTGTGACTTATCCACAAGGATTCATGGAGACACTCGTGACGCACCCCTGACGCACTTATGACGCTCACTGCAATTGAAGTGTAATAAACATTCGTATTTTCACTCCAATTGAGTTTCGAGTGCAAACCCGCAATCTGTATATTCAAGAATGAAGGCGAAATTATCATCTTGACTTTTCTTAGCGCTCTCAATCGCTCATCAGTCAATTTGTCACGATAGTAAATTGCTACGTGTGCAAGATGCCTCACAACTAGATCCCTGAAAGGGGTGGTAGAGTTTGTCATTCCGAACGAGATGGCCAGGGACAAACCGAGGGGTCTTTTTCCCTAATTACTTCTATCATCGAGTTAGTTCACGTCGCAGCATCTATTATTCGAGGGAATAAAAATCGACGAATCCCTACGGTTACGAATACGTAAGAGTTCCCCAGGGTTGTGCTCGAAACGTTCAAAAGAATCGAAGTCACCGGAGGACTCTTTGCGGGCCAAAAAGTAGCACGAGTTTTCGAGTAAAATTATACCGACGTTCATTTATTGATATCGCAGAGAGACAGTTTTTGAAGCGGGCGAAAAATGCAGTTTTATCTTTAACGAGATCCTATTCTTATTCGTTTAAAGGCGGCACGCGAGCGATAATATTAGAAATAACGAAACGAAATCGGGCTAGGTCCGATTCGCAGGAATTCTAATAGTTAATAGTTCGAAGGTCGGTCGAAAGTGGAGAAGTAGTTCGCTCGATCGATGCCAAGTGTTTTCGCGGTGGAAGGTAAAGTACGAATCATGAAACACATAGTTTGTCGTTTGTTCGAAATCATCGAACCTATTCTAATCCTTCGAATATCGAGCTATTTCGACGACCTTTCTTATCGGTTCCCATCGATTTTCTACGCGTTACTGTTTCTCATATATTTCACAGTATGTCGGAAACGGAACTTTTTAAATAAAAAGAAAATTATTTTGCTGGAATTAATTTTTTTATTCAAATCCGCAACGATACACCGCTGGACTCACACAACGTTAACATAGATTTTATGTTGAAATCGCTTCAAACCTTGTCACAGCTGCCTTGACTCGTGTAACAATGTCACAAAACCTTTCACAGCTAATTTCAGTTTTGAAAAAAGGAACTAATCACACGCAGATAAGTCAGGATTCGGAGGATGTTGGAGCACACAGACTTCTTCGCCAAAAATTCACGAACAGACAGTTCCGACATGGTGCGTTATCGTGCAACAGAAACCAACTTCCCGGAGCTCGATATTCGGGCCCTACACGAACGATCCTCCTCCACAAATGTTCCACAACACCCAGATAATATTCGCCATTAACATTCTGTCCCTGTGGAACGAATTCCCGAAGTATAATTCCTTTAGAATCGTAAAAGCGAATTAACATCGTCTTCTCGAGGGACTTCTGGAATCGCAATTTTTTGATTTTGGAGAGCCTGGAGATTTCCACGCAGCACTTTGGCGCCTTGTTCGAGGTTCATACTTGAAGCACCGAGTCTCGTCACTAGTTACAATTGATTCCAATGTACAGTTTCTGGCTTTGATAAGATCTCGCAATATTCAACGCGAGCAATTTGTCGCGCTTGCCCGTGATTTTGTGACACGGTGTCGAAAGTTTCTGTCGCGTTAAACGCTATAAGTTTGCAATCCGTTGCTCGATTCCAATAATTTCTGTGTTTTGTAGGGGAGGTATACTTTCAGACAACATGTTTTAATAGATAGCGCTAGTTTTCCTTGAATTTAAAAAGTTCCGTTTCTTTTCCGACATACTGTGTAAGTCTATAGAGAGATTGCACTTTAAAAATATACCCTTGTGCAAGTATGAACAATTCTGAAAAATAATGGCTCAATGACCAAGAACTAGCTCTAAATTCATATTAGAAATTAAAATGTAAATTCCAGAGGTTAAATAACAATCCGTGAAACGTTTACGAATTTCATCAAACCGAGCGAAGCTTAGGAAAAAATTCCGCTTAATTAGCACTCTGTTTAAGTGGAGTACAGATATCTGTTTCGTTGGACTCGTATTTTGTTCGTTAGGGACTGTTCTTTGTAGTCGCGTGGTTTCTCGTCGATCGAGCAAACGATTGCTCTTATCTGGATTTGCGGTCGGGATTCATTGGATCGTGGTAATTCGTTCTCCAACTTGGAATCGATAGAAATTCTGCATTTAACCGTGCGTCGATACGAGCCTACAACGAAACGATTAATTTTTTAACTGTTTTAGAAAATGTGCGTAAACATTAATATTAACAGCCACTTTACTATGTTTCTATGTCTTCACTATGTTTATATATCACTGTTACTTTACTGTGTTTATATGTACATCGCTATATCAAATCTGCAGCCCATAAAACTATAGATTTAATTAAAAAATATTTGAAGTTGTATTAAACTGCCTTTGGAGTAGGGTTGAATTATCAAAGTATTATGTGAAAAGAATGCTTGAAGTCCCCATAGAAGAAATTGTAAGAGATGAAAGTGACAGTCCAAACGGACGAGCTGTGACGCAATTATCCTCCACAGTTCCTATGACGTGACCGAAAAATGAACGTCAATGGAAGTCAAGGTGGAGTCAAAAGATGAATGAGATAGGCTTCAAGTGTTCACACTAGGTTTGTTAAGAGTTGAACATGATTTATGTAATTATTCT